TGTTGTTGTTGTTGTTGTTGTTGTTGTTGTTGTTGTTGTTGTTGTTGTTGTTGTTGTTGTTGTTGTTGTTGTTGTTGTTGTTGTTGTTGTTGTTAATTATTTTAGAGTCGAGAATGATATCTTAGGAATTAGCTCTTCTAATATCGCGCTTAGAATAGTATTTATTTTCTTATGAGATATTCTAGATTATTAATTTTATAATGGCCTAAAGAGTCTTATTATCTAGAGGGAGAATGCTGTCTTACGGAACCTTAATTAAAACTGAGAGGCTTGGTTCAACTTAAAGACTAGAAATTCATTGATGGCAAACTTCGCCGTAAAAGAATCGTTAACATGAAAACTCAAAATTGTAGCCCCTGGCAGCTTTTGGGGTAAAGAGTTTGTGTGACGGCCAAATGGAGAAGTAATATTTTGGTTTTCTTTCAGGCATTGATTTAATGACGAGTTGCTTTCATTTGCAGCGAAGATCTTGCAATTAAGGCGAGCATACACTTGTCACTAGGTTGGTGTAATGAGGCTTGCTAAACGGATATGTTCAATAGAGGTACGATAACAGTTACCTTGTCTACCGATAGGTTGTGTCTACAGAGATGGATGGCTTCGAATTGTGAAGGTGCAACGGCTCCGCAAGGGCCAATATCAGGAAACGGGCGTATAACGACCAGGAGAAGAAGGATTTCGATCTCGGTGACGAGGATAACCCGGATAAAGTGAAAACTGATCGAATCGGTATTGGTATCCAGATCAATGCCCGTATACGGCCGTGGAAAGACACTGTTATGGAGGATGCAGATATCGAGGCGCTGATACCTCCGTTGCAAGAAGAGCTCCATGAGTTTGAATTTTGTGTCCTCGTTGATCAATTCTGTCTGAGTGACGAAGATAGATGTGAGAAGGTTGTTCAAGGATATGGTTACGCCCAAAGTTATCACGCCTTCAAAGGAATATCCAGCTATCGGTTCTACCAAGTGTCTCGGTTTCGGAAGGAGAGAATGAAGACACAATGCTCGCAAAACAGTTTCCGCGCCAATATGAAGGAGAATCGGTGCCACTTTTTATGTCCTCCGCTGATCTCACCCCGTAAAGCTGGACCAGAGACCTTTAGTTGTGTACACCAGGCAAGACTTCTGCCTCCTTGGAGTGATGTTAGATGTGAGTTCCTTAACACAGAGAGGAGCAGTGTCTCACAATACAAGCGTTGGCACTCAGTCTTGAGGTGGAGGGATTCTTGGAGCCGAGTTATTCATGTGGATATCGATAGGGTCAAAAGTGGATGTCGCAACGTCGTCGTTATTGTTACCTGCAAGCGGGTTGGGGAGTTGACGAAGCTGTGGGGTTTCGAGGGGGGGCAGAACAAGTTCATCAAGCTCAATGTCTGCGACACGGACTGGTGCTCCTTCCGACGCGGTGGGTAGAGCAGCTGTCGCCGTCACTAAGGTATAAGCATCTAATAGACCGTGGGGTAGGATCTACTAAGGACGACTTGTGCTTGGAGAAGGTGTCTGAATAACTGACATAAATTGGAGGGAGATTGCCAAAATGCTTCTCGCATCGCAGTGGTGATCTGGACAGCAGCATATATGCTCGCAGGGATAGCAAGTACAAACATCAACCACTGTACAATGCCGTACTGCTGCAAAGCACTGAGCGCGAGCGAAGCGCTGGAGTCGGTCGGCGTCGATGGTGTTTGCCTAGCCTCGACGGTGGCTAGAAGGGATTTAAGGACCGCCACTGGGGCCATTTGCAATGGCGATGGATTAAGGGTGAGGCTGATGATTAGGGCAGGCGACAGGGCAACCAGGCGACTAGGGAGTCTGAGGCAGTCACGTGTCATGGGGAGGCGGCTGGAGAAGGGAGAGAGGAAAGAGAAAGGGCAGACGAAGAAGGCGACGGGGCGACTGAATGAACTTTTATGTCCCTTTGGGTGATACATGAGGCAGCCAAGGCAGCTCGGCCGCCCTTCGGGTCGCCCACTCCAAGGATGAAAATAAACGACAGGCAACCGGTTGCCCTGCACGTGTTGGATGCCCATTCGCTCTTGGCAAGAGAAAAACCTGCTGCCACCTTTGTCCGCCTTGTTTGGAATTTCTGCCCAAAACAACCCGATCTGCCTCGTTCCCGCTCCGCCTGATGCCTTCCCCCACCACTTGACATCACGCTTTCAGCTTCGCAATTTGACCGTTTTGGAGCAAATTCATGAATACTTCAACAGACCAACCGTCCATCCCAACTTCATCAGCAGCAGGCCCTGACGAAGCCGACCGTTCTGTCACCGAGATCTCCCGGCCAGCAACAGTGACAGAACTTGTGGGAGACGCCCGCTGCTTTCCATGCAGGCGACAGGGCAGTAGATGCCATGTCGAGCAAGGCTCCAGGTCTTGTCTGCAGTGCTCTGTGGCCGACGGCTGTATCTTTGAGCGCCTCATCGTGAAGCAGGGCCACCTTCTCGACTTTGTGTGGTCGGATCTGATCGGGCAAACATCTACCATCAAGAAGCAACCGAGTTCTACTGCTTTGCCAGCCAAGGACTTTCTGGTCGAGCCAAATTTTACTGTTCAACAAGGCAAGGAGCGCCTAAGCACACCCGCTCTCCCCAATATCCATGAAATCTTACCTCGTCCCCTTTCGCACAGCGGTACTGTTGTCCGTGCAATGCTGCCATGGGCCCGGCTGGACGGTGCTTTCGCTCATGCCCGTCGACGTGGCTCCTTTACCGACTCTGCAATCTCAAATAGCTCAAATTTACCTCAATCCCATGTCGAAACTATGGCTGGGGATCAAACAGAGAACGCGGCACGCGCGACATCGCTCGAGGCTGGAGCGACAGGTGCTACATCAGAAATACCCGCCAGGGCGACAGCAGAAAGCGCCGTCACCGCTAGGCGCTTTTCGAGCAGATCAAGAGACCTCGACTGCTCCGAGTGTGACTTCGTAGCTAAAACTCGCTCAGATCTAAAGTGCGTGCCCCTACCACGATTTATAGCATCCCGGGATCGTTGCTAATTTGTCACCCACCAGAAAACATTTGGCCCGACACAAACGGGAGCATAAATGCATGTTCTCGGAATGCCCTCAATCTACCAGGGGCTTTGCTACTCGCAATGACCTTGACAGACATCTCAAATCCGTTCACAAGATTAATAACAGGAAAGCCAGGGTCTACAGGTGCTTCGCCAAAGACTGTAACAAGGCGGGAAAGGAATGGCCTAGACTAGACAATTTCAAGCAACACCTTCAGAAGGTACATGCAGTGGAGGAAACAAGCTCGTTGGTCCAACTGTAAGTCGCCATTCAGGACCCTGGTTTAACGCGGCTAACCTAGGACTAGGTCTAATGATTGGTACGAGGACCAGTTTGGCCAGCAAGAGGAGCATGATGCTCAAGCAGTTCCCAAAGAGGTTGAGCTTTCTACATCACCGCTCCCTAACCCACCAACATATCGTCTCGTCTCGATTGAAGAAGGGGATTGGCGTGATCGACTTTCAACGACTTTCTTCTCCGGGGCTACGAGGGCCGGCTAGAAGCCAGAGTTAATTTTCCTTGAACCGCTGAGAACACCCACTTACACCAACGAGTTGAATTGTCAGACGACAGCGTTCCCTGCAGTCTTCATGGCTTGATATGCACGCATGGAGATGACTTCGGTCTTCGTCGGTGACAGAGGTACAAGGCTCGGCTACCAAACTGCCCAGCTTCTGAGGGCCTTGAAGGACGACCAAGATCAGTCTCTTAGGTAAGGAACCTCAACTTAGGAAGATACCCCGCCTCGACGGGTACACTGACAATGCTACTCCGTCCTGACCAAGGAATGAATCTGTCCCAGCTCGAATTGGCTGATGGAAACGCCAAGAGATATTTCCTTTTTAGGGCTTGCACTCCCAACAGTGGTGTTGGGAGTACGTCATTGACCATTTTCATCGACTGGACAATTTCTTGCTTCATGCTTGGGACAACAAAGCAACCAATCAATCAATCAATGAAAGACCAATGAACAGACATTGTATACCCTGGACCTCTCCTGAAGTGAGATTCATTTGAGCAATTCATTGTGTCTGCTATCTCAACTACCGATAGCAATACGCAACTCCAACTAACTCGATCACTAAAAAGACGGCTTGAAGTATGTCCTCTCATCACAACCACCACCCCTCTCACCACTCTCACTCCTCCCATCAACACGGCCTAACCCGTGACCCTACCATCCATTCTCCCCATGCCACAACCTCCCGAACAACCCAACCCACCATCCTTCGGTTCACTTACCCGAAGCCCACAGCGGACCCTGTCCAACAACGCCCGACAAAATGACCACCGATCCAAACATCACCACCGACCCTACCTTCGCCACTACCCGCAATGCCAACACAACAACAGACCCAAGCAAGACCGATACCTCCACGACCGCGACGTACACCTCTTCCGACCCCTCGACCGCGCCGCACGCCCCTTCCACACATAAGATACTAGGCGACATCAAGGGTGCGGTGCACGGCGTCACGGGATCCATCCAAGCGGCCACGGGGACCATGTTCGGACAGGAGAAGCTGGCGGAGAAGGGATTCGACAAGATGACTGACGAGGACGTGCGCTTGGCGGCCAAGACTGGGAAGCCACCCGTGGGGACCGAGCAGAGGAGCTCTGTCGTCGAGTCCACCGACACCTCTGGTAGCGCAGCCGAGCATGGGCGCGGTCTGCGTCATGAGCGAACTTGAATGTGGGCAAAGACGTCAAGGGGAGAGCACAGAGACAGAGACGCAGGAATGGAGAGACGTCTATCTACTAGTCTGGAAGCGAAAGGAAATGAGAGGAACGGACGAACAGTCCAGAGGAGTTTCGCACTGGACTTGTCCCGGTGCAGGAGATTGAGTGAGCTGTGCGCGACTGGGTGTATTAGCTGCACGAGAACGAACAAAAACTTTCATCTTTCAGAGTGTCGAGAAAGGGACACACGTGTTCAAAAAGTTTGATTTACATTGCGTTGCTATTTCAATCTTGCTTGCTTACTTGCACGCTCATCAAGCGTCCTGCCTGTCCATTGGAAGCGCTCGAGGCACCTTTGCACCATTCCCACGTTTCCCCTTCGTTTCATCTCCGCTGTGTTTTCTTTCTTCGCTTTGCTTGCGACCGCCCACCCGCCCGCCGACGCCAGTCGTCAGTCCGTCAGTCGTCAAATCGTCAATCGAACTTGTTTTGGTTTGGTCTCGGTCTCGTCGAAAATCTGCATGTTTTCTTAATCCCCTAGGAACCTCGGGGTCTCTTTCGCCTCGTCTCGTCTCGTCAGACAAATCATCATGTCCCATGGAAACAAATAGGTGAAAAGTGAGAACAAATTAAAACAAGTTTTGCTTTTTGTTTGTGAGTAGGTAGGATGCAAATCATGCATGCTAGGGGTCAACACAAGACCACGTCAAGGCATGAATGAACGAGCATGAGCAACGCTATGCACAGAAAATCATTAAGAACGTATTGGTGGCTTTTGGGTGTCCCTTTTCTCCCCTGGATATTATCAACGGATCCGATACCGCAGCTGTGCGTGGGATTAGCGGGTAATATTTCGACGCTGTGCCTGTGTGGTTGCGCTCCGGGCTCGGTTATCCAATATAGGCATAGGCGTCTAGTCGCTCCTAGTGTTTCATTCCTCAAAAAAGAATCCATCCTCACCAGTCTTCTGTACACCACTCATTCTGTGTTCAAGCGTCCTCGTCCGTGCAAGGAAATTGTCATCGACCCGATTATCCTCGGCATCCCGCCCCCCACCAAACTGATGCTCCATAGTGCTCTCGTCGACAAACGTGAATCCTTGGAAAGCATTCTGCATGGTAGGCGACAACGGCGTTGATGCTGGTGCAGCGCCAGCGGCTAGAGCAGCCGCTCGGGCATTTAGAGACGACGAGGTGTTAAGAGCGTTGGTGAACTCAGGGTCAAAGTTGGACGTATCGGCAATCGACGCCAATTTGGGCTTGAACGGAGGTACCAAATTCTTCTTGCCAAGTGCATCCCAGTCAATATCGGCAAAAAAGGGATGACGCATCAATTCTTCTGCATCTCCATGTGCACCTAGTCGGTGCTTAGGGTTGCGGTTCAGCAGTCCCTTGACGAAGTTTCGACCCTCGGTGCTCAAGGCGTCTCTCGGGAATCGCACTTTGCCAAACGCGATGTTCTTGTACATTTGCTGAGTATCTTCAGCATAGAATGGACTCCAGCCACAGCACATTTCAAACACGAGGACGCCAAGAGACCAGAAGTCCACCATTTTGGTGTAACCTTGCTCGTCGAGTAACACCTCAGGGGCCAAATACTCAGTCGTTCCGCAGAAGGTGTTGGTAGTGTCGTCCTGTGCCAAGTTGGCCTTGGATAGACCAAAGTCACACAGTGCAATGTGTCCATTTGCGTCGAGAAGGATATTTTCTGGCTTGAGATCTCGATAGACGATGTCGGATTGATGAAGGTGTTTGAGGGCAAGGATAAGTTCGGCGATGTAAAATTTGGCACGGTCTTCTTTGAACCGACCTTCCTTTTGGAGATGCCAGAATAACTCTCCTCCAGACATGAAGTCCGTGACCAAATAAAGATCCGTAGGTGTTTGGAATGAGAATTTAAGGCCGACAATGAAAGGCGATTCTGTTGTTGCGGTTCGAACCAGGATGTTTCGTTCTCCGATAGTGTGCTGGATCTCTTTCTTCTGGATAATTACCTTTTTCGACAGGACCTTCATAGCGTAAATGCGCCCAGTGTCCTTTTTCCGGACTTGATAAACTTGTCCAAAGGTTCCCTTGCCGATCAGCTTTAAAATCTGGAAGTCATTTGGTCCGACATGTTTCTTTTCGACTGGAGTGAAGTGCATTCGAATGTGAATCTCGCCTGTAATATCATGGTCCTCTGGGCTACGGGGCTCCAGCTTGAAGAAGCCTTCTAACGTGGGATTTTGTTCTGTAAGTTTCAGACATAACCGAATATGGCCCAGGAATGTTTCTGCATGGCGGTCGTAAACGGTAACATCCAATTCTGATTGGTCGCTGACGACGTCGCTTGAAGGCAGTCAGTTAAGGCACAGACCAAGTCGTGTCATTCAATCACTTACAAGATGGCTTCGTGATCCCACTGGGGATCACTGACCCTGCCATCTCCATTCGTGCTGCTCTGGCGACTTCTCATGGGGATGGCCATTGGCTTCCCCATGTCGCTGTCGGTCCTCCGGATTGATTGCAACTGACCAACCGGTCCTCTCCGGTCATCGACGTCGACATCCATCTTGTCGTGTCTGGGACCCTTGGAAACATACTCATTCCATTCGAACTGACAGACCACGTAAGGATCGAATGACGGCTTCAAGTCCCGACCTTCTGCAATCTTGATGGAGAGCTTGCCTCTTGGCGTGCTGTTAGGAATTTCATCTTTGGTTGGAAGTCGCTTCTCGGGTTGGGAATTTCCTTCGCTAACGGTGGTACTCGCGCTCGACAGTGGCGACCTAGTATCGGCCCGTCGATAGTCTTCTTGGGACAAGGCTCGAGGGGTATGAGGAGGGGTGCTCTTTTCACGCAGCTCAGAGGCCGCGTTTGAAGTTAGCTCATCTGACCCTTTCAAATTTTCAGACGGTGGTAGCTTAGCATGACTTGGACAAGGAGACTTGGGGCTCTGTGGTCTCGAGGAATGCGTGGACGATGCAGGGTTTGAGATGTGTGCGGCGGAAACGTTGCTTTTAGTAACACCTGAGACGGGTAGAGACTGGTGGCGGCGGTCTTTAGCCCAGGATGCAGACTTGGGGAGTACGAAATTCCTCAAAGCTTGCGTGATGGAAGCTATACCGCCGTCTAGCATGGACCCGCCGTTCTCTGCCACTTCGCCATCCCTATGCACCACGGAAGCGGCGGACGAGATTGGCGTAGGTGGGAGCCGAGAAGTGTCACCCTCTGATACGGGTGGTGCAGACTCCTCATGCAGCTCATCTGGTGGCGGTGTTGAAATGGAAGCTTGTTCTCGTTCCACCATCACCATCGAGCCCAAAGAAGCAAACGAATTCCGTCTACTCTCGTTCTCTTGTGCGGGCTCTTTCAGATCATTTCGTTCAGGTTCAGGTTCAGGTTCAGGTTCAGGTTCAGGGTTTGTGGCAGCTTCGGATGACCGTGAAGGCGTATTCTGAGAAGGATCTCTACCCACCTGGCCAAAATAGCCGTGTATTATACCCGGCAACCGCTTGTCGTGGAGGTCTGGACGCGGCGTCTCCACGCCAGAGGGCGTCGGTGAATTCGATCCAATCTGATCGTGGAAGTCATCTCGGTTTTCATGTCTTGCACTGCTATTCGGGAGGTTAGCCAGAAGGCTCAGAGGATTCGCACGTTCAAACAAAGAGTTCTTCGTCGATGATGACGACGACGATGCTGCGGCTGCAGCAAAGCTGGAACCCAACCCGAGCGGGCGGAACATGGCTTTGGCGTCTGGGTCTTTCTCTCCGTTGGGACACACAGCAGGTTTCTTCCCATGGCTCATGAGGTCGGAGACTTGCCACACACGACTTGGGTCTTTAAGAGGTCAAAGGTGACAAGGCCCCATTTTCTTTGCAGCTCCTCAAAACCGAGGCTGGGGTAGGATGAACCCCGCCATGCAAACGTCCAGCCATACACAGCGCATTCCCAACACGAAACTTGTTTGCTCAAAGGAAAAGATCGGGACGTACTTCTGGGCCATTGCCTGTCTCAGCAGGTCTGCAGCTGCAGCTGCGTTTGGGTTCACTCCCGTCTGCGCCATGTTGGCGGCCTCCCTCTCTAGTCTCCTCCTCTTCCAAAAACGAGATTGACTCTTTGTGTGAAGTATCGGGCCAAATGTCGCCGCACTCACCCGTCTAGGGAGGGGGGCTGGTTCCTGAGATTCCCGGGCGCAGGCTCAAGGCCGAGTGACGGAAGATTTGCAGAATTTGGAGAAATTCGGAAAATCGGTTGGCAAGGATTGCAGGGTTTTCTTGGGGCTTGTTCGCAGGGTCATTAACTCAGAGCAGCGACTATCCGGACGTGCAGTGAGAGGTGAGACTCGAGTGAAGAATTCGGATCTGAGGTGGCGATTTGGCGGTAGAAGATAACGACGGCAAGCTCGACAGGAAGGGGAGAACAGGCGGGTGATATAATCGAGTTGCAGGCTCAAGGTTCAAAAAAGTGTGACTTGGAGAAAAAGTAGGCGGGCCCAGGTCCTCTTGGGGGGGGCGCAGACCTGTACAGTAAGGTTTTCGGGGTGGAAGTAGGAGGGAAACCAGAGATGGAGTGAGCGTGGGATGCGGAAGGGTTCAAGTGGTATGATGGCAAAACTATGTGCAGAGCGAGGTAGTTTTGGGCAGCCCAGTGGAGGAAGCTCAAGGAGGTTGAGGATAGAGGATTTAAGAAATACAGCTGGTGGTAGCAGGTGGCCGCAGCCAAAGTAAGATAATAGAGGCCCGGCGGCTCCAAGGTTTGCTGAGTTTGCTGCTGGCCACCGCCGGTGCCGCCTAGTAGCCTCAGTTGGCCAATATGGCCTATGGGGGTGACCAGCTCCAAGTCAAGGACAAGTTCCGGGGTCTGACGCTGGCACGCTGCTGAGTTACAGCAGGCTGGAGCCCAATCGCCCCTCACTTTTACGATCCATGGTACTGATTCGATTATCGGTGAGTCCATTTTCGGGCCTGGGAATTTTGCATCGGGCGGGCTCAATCAGAAACCCACCATTTCAGAACACACCAATGTGCCACTCAGGGCCAGGCTGTGCTCAACCACGGGAGCAGGCTAGCAAGGGGCCTACGACACAACATACATGGTACAAGTACACATCGACTCAGATGTCGAATCCAAGGCATCGCCCCTGCATCGTCTATGCCTGCTTTTCTGCATAGGTATGTGCCCGTGGATGAGCGGTGGATGGGTGGATGAGTGGATGGATGGGATGGAATGGGTGAATGGGTGAATGGAGACGATACGAGAGAAGGACAAAGCAGACGACGTCATCCATGCGCTCATGGGAATCCTGCTGGACTTCGGCCTGGCCTGGAAGTTACTCGTCTTTCCCTCTCAAGCATGTCTGAGAGCCCTGGACAAAACATTTGGGCCACCCGAAGTCCCTTTTGAATATCGTTGAGCAATATGCTTCGTTGCGCAAGCCTCAGCGTCGGTGCGACTCATAGGCAATAATAGTAGCCGCCATTTGCATGTGGCAATTTTGCGTTTCTCAGTCAGCTGCAAGTGTCCCCAAGAAACCTGTGAACCAGAAGCAATTCAGTGCCCCAGCTCCCAGCACATGCAACGTCTCGGAGGCCCCGCACAGTCATAATCCGGCCCTTGTATCACTAAATGCGCCTAAATTGGTCAGAAAGACGATTGCTGGCTCGGCTATCCTGATAGACGATCGCATATCTCCATAGCTTTATGGAAATGTCTGAAGGAAAATTTTCCTGTCTTCAACCCGCTCGGACAGAAATCTTCAACGATAATGCGTTGAGCAGGGAGCGTGTGCCTAAATTCAGCCTAATCGAGACCAAGGAGACACTTGATCGCTGAACAAGGCAATCAGTCCATTTCTTGGTGAAGGATTGCAACAAAAAAGCGCATTCCGTTTGATTTCCGGGAGAGGGCGATATCCGTCCAGTAATCGGCGTAAACGATCTTCTCCGTTTGAGCTGGACTTTCTATTCAGGGGCATGGCTGGGACGGCCCTGTGCAGATAAACCAGCCGTCGTGGAACAGTACGTGGAAGACATCGGCTAGATGTTGTGCAACTTGTGTAACTCGAGATGCGATCGACGCACACTTGGTGGTAAGGCTGAAAAGCAGCCAAAAGGCCCGATGATCACAGGGGAATATGGTTGGGGGCGCCTTGCAATGTCGGTCTGACTTTTGCATCCCAGTGTTGATTCAGAGTTATTTGTTGTTCGGAGACGTCGTTGAGCCTATTTGCTCACTGTTGTACAGAATCAAATTGTGAAGTCCCACCAGATGCATTGTTTTGCGAATTGGCAAATTCCTCGACGCGGTTCGCTGCGCGTTCTGCGCGTAGTTGGAAGTGAAATGGTGGTCGACCGTAATTGCACTAATCATCTATGTAGCCCGCCGTATATCGCCAAGACTAATGGTTGACTCGCGTGGCGCGTTTTCGCCGTTTGTTGCAAGTTGAAGTCGCCAGTTGGAGACTGTTCAAGTTCCAAGATCAGAGCATTTGACTTGGGAATCGGTCGATACGATGGCGCGGCGTCCGCGTCTTGCAGCACAAGCCGCTCAAGCTTCCATGCGTAAGCCTCTGGAGTGAGGATTTTATCTTCATCACATCTGCTAACTTGAGAAAGGAACTCCAATCCCTAACATATCCGACAACGAAGACGAAGAGATGCTAGATGCCACCCCTGCAGAGGCCCCTACACCACAAGAAGACGATGAAGATGCAGAAAATGAAGAGGAGGAAGACGGGATAAATGATGCAGAAGAAGCTGCGACTCCGTCTCGGGAGTCAGAGCAACCGTCCCGTTCGGCGACTCCTCGCCGCGGCCGACCTCCCCTGCCCCGTGGGCGTCGAGGGGGAAGGTTGGGCAGGCCCCCAAGACATCGCGTTGCTACTGCATCTGAGGATGGAGATAACGATGCCGCTTCCGAAACCGCCACTCCAAAACGAAGAGGTGGTTTCCGAGGTCACAGGGGTGGAAGATGGGCAAAGTACAAAGCCGGAGGGTCACGGCCACAGCAGGCTCCTCTTGACGACGAGGGAAATCCAATGGAAATTGTCAATGACGAAGTTTTACTACCTGAGGACCCCGAAGGCGAGCAGAAGGTTGACAAGAATGGCCGTCTGCTGGGTGGAAGAGAATACCGGGTGCGGACGTTCACGATTCTGGGCAGAGATGACAGACTGTATATGCTGTCAACAGAACCAGCACGTTGCATTGGATTTCGCGACTCATACCTTTTCTTCCAGAAACACAGGCATCTCTATAAGATCATCATTGACGATGATGAAAAGCGAGACCTCATCGATCGAGACTTGATCCCTCACTCCTACAAAGGTCGCGCGATAGGAGTGGTTACGGCTCGATCTGTGTTTCGAGAATTCGGAGCTAGGATTATCATCGGAGGGAGAAAGGTGATAGATGACTACGAGGCCAAGAAAGCACGGGAACGGGGTGATGTCGAGGGGGAACTAGCTGTCCCAGAAGATCGCTTGCCGCTACCCGGAGAGCCTTACAATCGAAATCAATATGTGGCATGGCATGGTGCAAGTGCAGTTTACCACACCAACACGCCCAGTGTGCCCATTCCCCTCGCGAAAGCGCAGGAGGCCAAGAGGCGAAAGATCATGGTAACGAGTGACAACTGGATGCTGGAACATGCTAGGGAGGCCAGGTAAGGACTCATCCCTCTCAGGGAGCATACGCCCAAATTAACTGATCGGAACAGTCGATTCAACGCGCAACTGACAGCGAACCGTGTCGATAATCTTAACGGTGTGTACGACATACACACCAACGTCATGCAGTACCCAAGCCATATGCAGCCAACACATGCACGATGGGAAATTGTTGACGACCAGGAGAACACTGAAGACCTCGAGAAGACAGGACGGCTACCTCACCTTGACCCGGTGTATGGACGCAACTTCCGAATCCATGACCTCTGTCTCGAATCGGCTCCAGAGTCCTGGTATGCGACGCCTGGTAGCATTGAAGAAGGAAGCGGCCTCTCGTCAATCCCGTCTAGCATCCTGGAAGAGCTTCCTCCCGAATGCCTCCACGCGTTCGAAGAAGCCAAGTTACGGGAAGCCGAATGGCGGGGAAAGTGGCATACAGAACGGGAAGATGGGCTGAGAGCACGCCTTCTCCCTTCGTTTGAGTGGTTTCCAAAGTGAGTTGGCCCTCTGGAACAAAGTATAAACATCATCCCCAGCGGATCTGGAGAATGCCTCGACGGCTTCGGCTTGCGGTCGCTCGCACAAAAATCGGTCAAGCTGTTGCACACGACACTAAAACCAGCCTCGGTCGTTGAGACCTTTACACCCCCACACCAACAGGATTGGGACTTATCATACGCCGAAGTTCGCAAGGTTGAGTTCGTACATATGAAACTTGACAGGGAAGAGAGGATATTGAAGGAATGAAGACCAATGACTCCAGTTTGAATGGGTTTGAATACCGCCCAACCTCCCAAATGCCGGCGATGCGTCTCTGACAACGGCCATTGGACAGAAAGAGGACCCCAGGGTCCAAAGGGCTCTGCAACTCCCGATCTGCGCGTGTGGGAACTGACGCGTGTGGATAGTTCCAAACTCAAAATCGGTGGAAGTCGGGGGAGTGAAAGAGGGGGGCTGTTTAACCATGAGCTCCAGAGCTCCAGAATTTATCTTTGCACTGCGCCGATGCAGACCGATTTCCGGCGGTGTTTTTAAACAAGAGAACGGTCGAGATCGTGATTGGATGCGTTCCACCCCCATCCCCGAAGGACCTGGACTTGTTCCGAATGCTGGACCAATTACTCCCTACAAAAAAAACCCTTTTTTGTCCAAGCATGGGACTGGCGGTTCGTGGCCGCCAAAAATTTTGTGCCGCGGCAACCCGCCCTTTTCAAAGACGCGGAAGGACGACGCCAGAAGAAATTAGCCGTGCGTGTTCAACGGGCCAAAGCTCGTCCGCACTGCCTTTCCATTAACGGCTACTATTGAAGATGATTCAGAGCTGGTCACTGCTGGTGGGCCGGAATGTGCTGGTGTTCCATTGATAGAAGTGCGGCATCTTATTCAGCTGCACCTTG